CAATACGACGTGGGGAACTCTGTGCCACCACTTTCAAAGAGGAAATTTACTCGTCAATCCGACCCGTACGCTTTGCACGGCAGTCTGTCAAAATGATTTCTTGAGAAATACCGAAAGTTTCAAAGTGATCATCGTACTAGAAGTATTCTAAAGTGTGAAGAATTCAACCCCGAGGGTACAAAATGACTCCGGGGCGTACGGATAGGGTTAAGCAAGTGCACACTGCCAGTCCGATACCTTTGAGTGAATCGGGGCCTGCCAGATTTTCCTTCTTTCATCTTCACCTTCACCTTCACTTATCCTGTAGACTGGATGTCCGTCGGGGCGCCTTTGAAGATTTGGCCACCAGCTTCCTCCACTCCTTCCCGTCGTCAGCCTTTCTGAGCGTGTCTTTGAGTGCCAGGCCTGCCCTTTCCTTGATGTTGTCCCCCCAACTCTTCTTCGGTCTTCCTATGCTCTTTTTTCCCTGAACGCTGCCATACATCTTTATATGGATGCGACAAAAGCTTCCTGCGTCTACTAAAATTTTGGCACGATACTACCAATTTGATTCGCGACTTCGGAAAAAACAAACATGTTTGATTTGAAGGTCACAGTCGAATTTAATCTAATCCAGTCCAACTGTGCCAACATGGCACCTTTTGCCTTGAAAAAACATGAAGAAAAATCAAGGAGTCCCCGACTCAATCAAACGAATGTGATTGGCTGTGTGCACTGTGTATCAAAAGGTCTCTGACGAACCAGAGCTGCCTTAAATGGAGACTTTAGAATGGCCCCCCAAAATTAGACTATTTAAACAAAAAAAGAGATTTCCCTACTACATGTATCATGTATTCATTGTTTTATTATTTTAGTAAGAGTTTTACGGCACTTGCAACACAATGAGATCATATGAGTGCTGAAGATTAAAAGTGTTACGAGAGAGTAACAAACACAAAAAGAAGGGGGGGACATAGAGAAGATAAATCTTTTATAATAGGAAAGAAGGAGAAAATCCCACCAGAGCACCCGCCAACCACCCACTCTCACTATTAAGGAATTAAACAGTTTTAACAAACAAACAACAAACAAAACAAATAACAAACAAACAAACAAAAACAGCAAATGAACACACAAACAAACAAAAAAACAAAAACAAAAAAAAAACGAAAAAAAGAAGCAAGTAAATTGAGTCAGGCAGTGAAAAGTTAAGATGCACCAGGATGAAGGAAAACAAATAAATAAGAGCATAGAACAAAGAGAAACATATACATAGAACAAAGAGAAACATATACAAAGAACAAAGAGAAACAAATAAATACATACAATAAAGAGAAAGAAAATGAATACAACAAAGAGAAACGAATAAATAAATGTACAACAAAGAGAAACAAATAAATACAACAAAGAGAAACGAATAAATCGAACAAATAGCTTGAATTGATTAGAATTAAGAGAAACAAATAGAAGGTGCAAAGAGCAAAAAATAAATAGAACAAAGATTAACAAATAAAACAGAACACAACAGAAGTCAAAGTACTGCAGATAATGTGTTGTATTGGTGGTAGCAAAGTATACAAATAAACTTCGACGTCAGTCTCGAACCGTGTATCCATTAACACTGATTTTATTGGATAAGTGGAAAAACATGTAATTTCTTTTTTAACCCTATCCGTACGTCGTGTTTTACTATCGTATCCATACGACGTGGGGAACTCTGTGCCACCACTTTCCACAGAGGAAACATACTCGTTAATCAGATCCGTTCGCTTTGCACAGCAGTCTGTCTAAATGATTTTTTGAGAAATACTGACAATTTCAAAGAGGTCTTCGTGCTAGAGGTATTCTAAAATGTGAAGAATACAACCCCGGAGGTACAGAATGACCCAAGGGCGTACTACCAATCGCCAATTAATTATAATTCGGTTCTGGATAACATAATTTGAGAAAAACAGCAACAATAACAACAACAAACAAAAACAACAAATAAAACACCCCTCTCTAAAAAAAAACCGCTTGACCTAATTTTGCGGATACACGGTTAGAATCCGACGCCAGCGATATGACAATATTATTTCTTATTAATATCATTGATTGAACGGGCCATTCCATGTTACAATTGTCTCCATACTGACACTAATTTTGAATGCATAGATATAAAAAAGTCTGTGTACATAATATATCGATTGATACAAAGTAAGTCACTGGTTAAAATGTAAAAGATGGTTGTCTCTAACAACAACAACAACAAAAAATAATAACGGTAATAAAAAATGATTCTATCACTGGTTAGATTTTTTCTGCAGGCCATATCCCCGCATTGCGTGTTTGTGTATAATAATATTGTGTTACTGCAGTTAAATTTGTCATGGAATGGCCCCAAAAATGAATACAAAGGCAGCTAACTCGTAGCTTGTACATGATACTATTTTTATGTGTCCCTTGTTGGTCCACATGTTTTCATAGAAAAGATTAATATCATTATCATCATCATCATCACCATCATCATCCCCATCGAGCACCAAATCTGCAACAGACATCGGCGATCATGAGACAGCCACTTTTCTCCTCGGGAATGGGTGGCTGTCTAAGACAGATTCTACTGTACATATCAGAATGCAGTCTAGGATTATTATCATCATACAAATCTATGGATTTGCTTGCTATGACGTCAAGGATAATATCATCATACAAATCTATGGATTTGCTAGCTATGACGTCATAATATTCCATAAAAATTAGGCAATGATGCTATATATAAATAAAGTTTCGAAAGTTAGAAATGCAGAAGTCAAGTAATAAGCTCACACGTGAAAATAAAGCTTTTAATGAAATGCTCAAACTGTCTGTGGCAAACACTTCTCTGCCAGAATTATTTGGTTTCATTGGGTGAAAGCAGAATCCACAAGAAGTTATCTTCTTAATCCTTCTTTCTTCTATCTTAATCTACCCTAAGAAATGTTCTCCTCTGCTGATGCGTTGTCTGTCATCGTCGGATGAGCTCTTCTTCTTCGTCTTCTTCTTCTTCTTCTTTTTCTTTTTCTTTTTCTTCTTCTTTTTCTTCTTCTTCTTCTTCTTCTTCTTCTTCTTCTTCT